TTTCATGGCTACCATCACTACCGCCGTTGAAGCTTTCTCCTCCTCCTCCTCCTCCTCCGCTCGGAAACGAGTTGGCACTCACAATGGCAGCTTCCACTGCGACGAAGCTCTTGGTTGCTATATGATCCGCCTCACCAACAAGTTCAAGGACGCCCAAATCGTCCGCACCCGTGACACTCAGGTAACATTTTTCTCTTTTCATCCCTTCGGTTCATTTCTTGGTTCCAGAGTATAGCCCAGGATTATATGTGCATTCGCGTTTGCAAGGAGTTGTTCGTGCAGGCAAACTGTTTGTTGAAATGTTTGTTTTGGCGAAGGTTTTGGAGTCGCTTGACGCTGTTCTTGATGTTGGAGGGGTTTATGATCCTAGTCGGGACTGGTATGACCATCATCAGAAGGGATTTGAGGAGATCTTTGGGCATGGGTTTAACACTAAGCTCAGTAGTGCTGGTCTTGTTTACAAGGTAAAGCTAACTGCAGAGACATAACAGGCTATCTTTGAACCTTTGTTGTCCGACTTATGTTTGGAGTTGGTAATGAAGGATATAAGGACTAATGTTAGGAGTGTTATAGTTGTCATTGGATTCTGCTGGTTAATAATGCCTTATAGCAATCCCATTGTTTTTTTTTTCTGTAGCATTTTGGAAAGGAGATTATTGCTAAAGAGCTTCAAGTTGAAGAAGAACATCCAGATGTGCAGAGGTTGTTTCTAGCAGTTTACAGGAGCTTCATGGAGGTGAAAAGAATTATATTCTTATTTAGAGCTTACAGCACACAATTTTTTTTTATTGTTACATTTGCAATCTTGTCTTGTCCTACAGCTCAGAATTGGTGTTAGTGGATCACTAGTTGAACCATACAACTCGCTCTTTTTTATTTTTTAAATGAAATTCTAGAAATAGGCTTAACATCCGAAATGATTCGTAATGATTTGTGGAAAAGTTATACAGTATGATGTTTTTAAAATTCCAAAAAAATAATACTCCCTCTGCCCCGTAAATCCTGACAGTTGGTATAGACACAATGTTTTGGGAGAGCAGTTTCCAGCCACAAATTTCTTACCATGCCCTTTGTTCTTTTACTCAGCTCTTCATCATTTTACTCTATCTTCTCCTTTTTTCCGCATTTGTTATTCCTATCACATATAGAAGCAACTACAAATCCATAGCATTTAATTTTAAAATTACAGATATTTGTTTGAAATTGCAAGAGAATAAATAGTACACCTTATTTGACGGAGAAAGATAAAAAGTAGAAGATGTCAAATCCTAATTTTAGACTGAGTGCTCTCACTAAATCATTAAAAGCTGAAATTGAGTGATTTTATTAGAGGATAAAATCTTTGAATTCTTCTGATTTCTTTTGAATGGGCCCTCAAATTCCCTCCACCTTTGACATTGAGTCTCTAGGATACCGAAAAAACGGATAGATACTGTTGTTGAATGGAGAAGATGAGAATTGATGGAGAACTCAGGCAACGTAGAGCCTTTCCAGTGGTGAGTGGTGTAGACATTAAAGGTGAGAGGGAGAGTCTACAATACCGCGGAGAAGGGTTTCAGATTTGAAGCAGATGACCTGAAGAGAGTTGATTCAGAGAGAGTAGATGGAGGGGGAGATCAAGAGGGAGAAGATTGAGATACAGATGGATGGAGAGTTATGAGCTGACAACCTGAAGAAGGAAAGTTGGGTATGAGAGAGAAGAAGGTGGGATGGAGGGGTATTAAATTTGTTGGGTGGTTAAGAAAAAAATGAAGGTCAGAAGGCGGTAATGAAATTTAGTGTATGATGTTTGCTAAAATATGATATGTAAAGATTTAGTAGGGATATGACTAAAAGGAAAGCGTTTAGATTTATCAGGGACGGAGGGGGTTCTTTAAAAAGACTACAGGTTATCATTGTATCATTGTATGGTGAAAAAGTATGTTTGTTTCAATTCAACCTCTATAAAAAAATGAATGGCCAGGTCTGCATACTCAGGTCGTCAAACCGCTGAGTTACATAGATTTAAATAACTCATCTGGTTGCATCACTCTTTTGTGAGTCATTTGTTCATTTTGTATGCAGTTTCTTCTTTCTTCTTTAGCAGCAACAAATATTAATTGAATTACTTCTCGTGGTTAAAATTCTATCTAATGCTTTTAACAGGCTATTGATGCTATAGACAATGGAATTAATCAGTATGACACGGACCAACCCCCCAAATATGTCAATAATACACATTTGTCTTCCCGGGTTGGGAGAATAAACTTGGATTGGACTGAGTCTGATCAATCTCCAGAAAATGAGAATAAAGCTTTTTCTCGTGCAATGTTTTTAGCTGGCAGTGAGTTTATGGATGTAAGACTCCTTCAAAATCTTCAGAAACATTTATATACATCATTTTCTTGGGATAGTTTTCTCTGGAGATTTCTCTCTTTGTCTATATATATGTATGTATTCAAGGGTTAATGACTCTCTTGCTCATATCTACTATTGTTTCTATGTACTTAACATGTCCGTATATTCCCAGAGTGTTCGTTATTATGCAAAATCATGGTTGCCTGCTCGATCAATTGTTTTGGAGTGTCTTGCTTCAAGAAAGGATGTCGATCCCAGTGGAGAAATTATGGTTTTAAATAGATTTTGCCCAGTAAGTGTTTGACCCAAACTAGTTTGACTCATTTTATACTTTGTTTCTAGTTAAACAATCCACAAGTTCGAACAGTTTCGTCTAAACTTCTGATATTTCTCTCAGCTATATATTTCAATATTATAGCTAATTATTTACCTACAAATACTGTACTTTAGTTATAAGCCTCAAAGCTACAGTTGATAATAAATCGCCAGATATGCAATATGAAAACATACTGATAATATGTTTGCTCAAACAGTGGAAGCTTCACTTGTTTGAGCTTGAGGAGGAATTGAAGATTGATCCACCAACCAAATATGTTCTTTATGAGGTAGTAATGGACCAACTTATGCTTGTGCACTCCTTGAGTTCTTTTCGTATGGAGAAATTGCTATCCAATATTTTGGTTTGTTTATTTACCTGAACAATTCCAAAGAACTATTATTTTCTGATTATGATTTGTAGGATGATAGAAGCAAAGGCTGGAGAGTGCAGGCAGTGGCTGTCTCTCCAGACAGATTTGAGAGCCGTAGGCCATTACCGTCACAGTGGAGAGGTCTTAGAGATGCTGAGCTTTCAAAGGAGGCGGGGGTTCCTGGTTGTGTGTTTGTCCACATGAGTGGGTTTATTGGTGGGAACCAAACCTATGAAGGAGCTTTATCTATGGCAAAAGCTGCTCTAAAGCTCTAAATTGCCAAAAAACACCCAAATGTTACTGAAAGCATTTGATAGTTGTTTCAAGTGATTGTTATCTATCTTGTTTTGATGATCCTCTTCACTGCTGTGTTTTTCCAACTTTTAGGTTTCATTTATGCTTTCACGTTCATTTCACTGAACATCAACATCTAAAAGAATATGACTAGTTATTTCTACGAATCTTTTTACCTTAGTTGATTTTTTTGTCATCAACTTTAAATACTTTACTAAAATGGCTGTCACTTATTCATACAAAAATGAGTAGTTTTGCGGAACTTGCTAGCGTGATGAATGACTAAGATTCGTTCATCTAAATATTTAGAGAATTTCGACCATTCATCACACTAGCTGACTAGCATGCTCTATTTATTTTTCACTACGGGTGGGTTTCAAGCGGTTGTGATTGTTGTTACTAGAACAATATGGTACCGGCTATAAATTTATAACGGGTTCAACTAGAATTCGTCGATCAAGGTTAAGTTGGGGTTTTGGATGAGATACTTCCTTATTCCTTTTTCAATTGTCACATGTTCCTATTGAGAAGTTTTTAATTATTTATCTATCTTTTCGTTTTTAGGGGGTGTTTTGATTTGATTCTTAAAACTGCTTCTGATCCTTCAGGGAGCAGAATCAGAAGTTGCAGTGTTTGGGTAAAAGTGTAGAAGTGATTCTGGTGCTCTAATTTACTTCTAGAATCAGTTTTTTTAGAAGTTGGGGTGACCAGCTTCCGAAAACTGATTCAGAATCAGTTTTCGTATAAAACTACTTTAGTTCTTCACTTTTGTTACTTTCACCACTTTAGTGTTGACAAACTAATTTCCCGTTTCTATTTTTTCCTTGATTTCGTGTTCTTAATATTCTTTTCCTAACCTTTTCATTTACCCTAAACACTCAATATGATGCCTACTATTTTCTTTTAAATAACACAGAATACTTATTTGGACATCTACAAAAGAAGCTTGGGTTATATATAAACTCACTTGGTCCCTTAAAAGAAGTTTCTGTTGTCATTTGGTAAGGTTGATGAATTATAAAATTAAATACTCTTATTGTTTAAAAACACATACTACGTGCAGAAATATTACACTAAAAGTTTTATTGATTGTAAAAGCTTAATTATGGGGTCTTTTGAGTCTGGCTTTGGCTTGATTGTATTCATTTTAAGCTCAATATTTTAATTTTAATTTAAATGCTTTATGATAATAAAGAATACTAGTGATGCAACATAGGACTTTTTACAATATTCACATATTCTACTTTGACTATATTTATTGATGTATTATAAATTAAATTTTTAAAAAATATTTTTAAATACATCTCATCTTAAATTTTCAAAATCTGAATTTTTTAATTTTTTTACTAATAAGGAATGAAAGATATTAATGATTAAACTTCTGTATTGACAAGTGTGAAAAGTGGACCGTTGCAATTAAAAAAGAACGGAGGAAGTATATAATGAGAAGGAAAGTGATATACTCCTCCCACAAAGATTGGCTAATTTGAAATAAAAAAAAGATGTTTGTACGCACCATATTTGTGAAAGTTTTTTTTATTTGTGAATATCGATTCACAGACAATATTTTGCACAAATAAAATATTTTCTGTGAACCGGATTTACAGACAAAAAAGCTTCACAAACCTGATGGGTATAAGAGGGTACATCAAGCATCCTTGTTTGAAATAGAAGAACTAAAAACAATCCATCATCTTCTACTAGGGCGACAAACTGCAAAATTGACCGCTAAAGTGGAAGCATGGCTACTCTTTCTTCCTCTACTATATCCTCTATTCATCTTGCCCTGAAAAAGCCGTCTTTCACTTCTCTCCCTCCAAATCCTTCATTTCTTTCTTTCACTCTTTCAGCACCCAATTTCTCATCCATTTCAACCCTTAATTCCGATCGGAAGCAAGTTTCTATGCTTCAATCTTCTGCAACTGGTACCCCTGCCACTGCAGAACCCGTTGCTCCGCAAACCCTGAAATCCCGCCTCAGGAATGGCGAGACGCTCTACGGGATTTTTCTCCTCAGCTTCTCCCCCACTCTCGCTGAGATTTCCGGTCTCGCCGGTTACGACTTCGCCGTCGTAGACATGGAGCACGGCCACGGCGGGATATCCGACGCCCTCCCTTGCCTCCGCGCCCTCGCCGCCACTCGCACTCCGGCTATCCTCCGCGTCCCCGAATCATCCGACGTCTGGGCGAAGAAGGCCCTCGATCTCGGCCCGCAGGGGATCATGTTTCCGATGATCGACAGCGCCAAATCGGCCCGGAAGGCTGTGTCCTACTGCCGATTCCCCCCCAACGGAATCCGCGGGTCGGCGCATACGGTGGTTAGGGCTTCGGGCTACGGAATCAATGAAGAGTATCTGAGAAATTACGAGGAGCTGCTGATAATGTGCCAGGTGGAGTGCGAGAGCGGGGTGAAGAAGATCGGGGAGATCGCCGCCGTGGAGGGCGTGGATTGCATCCAGATGGGGCCGTTAGATCTGAGCGCCTCATTGGGGTACCTGTCGGACCCGGGTCACGAGAAGGTGAGGGAAGTGTTGAGGAAGGCGGAGAAGGCGGTGCTGGAGACGAATCCCGGCGGAGGAAATGGGGCCTACTTGGCGGGGTTTGCGATGCCGCATGATAAGCCGGAGAAGATGAAGGAAAGAGGGTACCACATGGTGTCTGGAACTGTTGATATCGGTTTGTTTCGGGCTGCAGCTGTGGAAGATGTAAAGAAATTCAAGAACAGTTTAATGGCTGAATCAAATTCTGTGTAACGTTAAAACTGAGGAAAAGAAGGAATAAAGGTTGTGTTCTTGTTGGACTTTGAAAGTGTAATGCAGTTTCCATATCTAATTTCAGAATTAACTTTGTTCACTAAGCAGATTATAGTGTTCATGAGGTTTTAAACTTTCAGAGAGATCGTCTCATCATTTATAGGTATGAAGAAGAAAGTATTGGTAAAATTGGCTGTTCTTCGAAAACTAGTCGGAGCAGCGACCCGACTAAATTAAATACTCTTCTTCTTTTGGATATTCTCGCTCAATTTCTAACTCGTTTAGTAACTCTGTTTTTGGGCTTGGAAGCTTCAATTCACCTTTTAATCAAACACAGTGACTTTTGATTTCGTGCGCCGAATTATGTAATAATAAAAAAAAGTAAAGTTGAAGTTACTTTTCTGGCTGTCTTGCCTGAAGTTATTGTAGATGATCATTTTAACTATTTCTTCATATAATTTTTTCTTCATTTAATTAGTAAAATATATTTTAAATATATTTTTTTCATAAAATCAGCAGAATCAGTCAATGCAGCCACTTCAGCCAGAATTTCATAAATTTCAGTCACTTAACAGCTTCCCGATGATTCATATTGAAAATTACATCCAAAATCGTACTTTGTATAATTGTGTGTTGCTTCATAACAAAGAAGCGTAAATAATTTAGTGAGTCATTTTGTTTTAATCCATCATATTTCAAGCCAAAAAATAGTTAGTCTTTGACTTCATTGGAAACGATAGAAATATATCAATTTAATCTTCCATTCTTAAATTATTACTGGGGTATAATTAGACAACATTCTAACTAATGTCAAATAATGTCAAAATAATAAGATGTGTCTTTTTCGAACTAATAAAATTTAGGAAAAATTGAAAATAATAATCCAAATTATTGATGGTCCGTCTTTACTAATCCCAACTATCGATCATTCCTTGATGGTCCCAACTATAGGGTCCATTTTCCAAAAATAGCCCCTAACCTGTTACAACCTCGTATATATAGCAGGTCCTTTTTAAATGTAAATTATATGTAAGCTTTAAATAATCTCAACTATAATTGACCTTTTTTTTATTAATCCCAACTATCAACTCTCAATTTTTTGAAGATGTAATTTAAAAAAAAATGCAAACTAAACATTTTTAAGCATGAAATATTAATTACGAATACTCTACCCATGTACTGAAATTAGATTAAAAAAACATAGTCATTATTTATTTACTTTCACTAAAATTTCATTTTGTCATTTTTACAATTTGTTTGTCACAATTATGTTACCAAATTATGATTTAGTATTATTATTCTTATTTAAATTTACATTTTCTATTTTCAAAAGGTCAATCGTGATTATTTTTTTACAATTTAGATCTTTATTCTAGCTTAATCTTAAAATCTAAAATTTTATTTATTCCATTTTAGTGTTTGTAATTTCTACCAATGTAAAAAAGCGAATAACTTGAAACGATAAAAAAATGTTTACCAAAAGTCCAAACTTCTTCTACATACTAAAATAGTTGGGATTGTTATTACCATTTTGATACACTTTCACTACATGTTTACAATTTCCATTATATCACTTAAAATTATAATATTAATACATTTTCTATAAATATAGTAAAAACCTCCAAAACTTATACCCCAAATCACTAAAATTAAATAATAAACTATATAATATAATTTATAGAATATAATAGTATAAATAAAGAAAATAGAAAGAAACTAGAAATACTAAAATGAAAAAATAGTACATTTAGGTTTTTAAAATTAAAATAGCATAAAATAAATAAATAAAATTTTAATCATTATTTACTTTTTAAAACTAGTGTAATTTTGAATAAAGAAAAATAATACAAAATCATAAATTAGTAACACAACTAAGGAAAAAAACTGGAAAAAAGGAAAACCAATTAGTGGAAATTAATAAAAAAATGACTAAAAATATTTATTTAACTTTGGTACATTTGTATAATTTTTGTAATTGTTTATAAATGTTTAAAAACATTTAGTTTGGAAATTTATAAATATATTTTTACATCTTCAAAAAAGTGAGAGTTGATAGTTGGGATTAATAAAAAAAGGTCAACTATAGTTGAGATTATTGAAAGTTTACACATAGTTCACATTTAACATTATTGTAACATGTTAGGGACCCTTTTTGGAAAATGGTCCCTATAGTTGGGACCATTAAAAAATAATCGATAGTTAGGATTATTAATGGCAGACAGGTAGTAGTTGAGATTATTATTTTCAATTTTTCCTAAATTTTAATGACACTCATAGTTCAACAAATTTAGTTAATTAAGCTCTTTGATCAAATTTTTATGAATTTCAGCATATTGAACTTATTCAGCTAATTCATTCAAATCAAGACTCCCACTGTTTCATAAATTTATAGAAAAATATTACTACCTCCGTCCAATAATTTACTTCCAAAATAAAATGGCACGCGGATTAAGAAAGTGAGAATTGTGTGGTGGAGAGTTGTGCAGAGGAGAGAGAAATGCTGTGAACCACAAATTCTTTGCCAAAAAAGGAAAGAGAAGTTCTTTTTGGGACGAACGAAAAGGGAAAGTTGGAAGTATTTTCAGGGACGGAAGGAGTATACGGTTCACGTTTAATTAGATATTTATACATAATCATTTCGTACTTGAAATTCTAAACATAAGACAACCCAATGCACATTGGTCTAACCCTCTAGAGAAATGTCCCATCACAAAGGAGTGATTTTCACACACACATGAAATTTAGATCGAATGAGAATGTGATCTAAGGAAATAAATTAAAATGAACCTGCAAAATTGGACTTGAAAAAATGCTGTGGAATTTTGTAAAAAAAGAACCTCTTCCACATTTGTGAAGTGTGTTAGCAGTTGATGATGAAATAGTTGTCCCAAGTTTAGATGGCTTCACTTGGGTTCCAACCGTTTCATATGCAGAGAACTAGTATAGTACCCGTGCATACGCACGGGAAAGAGCAGTTGGTGCATATATTTGTACTCATGATCTAATTACAAATTAGTATATAAATATTTCCCGCTTAATAATTAGCAAGATTATCTTCTTATATCTAAAAGCACCACATATGAGAGAGAGAGAACTCTCCCGCTCAATTGTTAGCTTACATATCTCCTTATCTTCACATATCTAAAATCGCTACATATGAGAGAGAAAATCATCTTGTTCAATTTCCCCGCTCAATTATTAGCAAACTTATATTGTAATATGTAGAAGCACTACATGTGAGAGAGAAAATTCTCCCGCTCAATTATTAGGAAGCTTATTTTCTGTTACTCAAAACCACTACATATATGAGAGATAAAGTTCTTACGCTCAATTGTTAGTCGACTTATCTTATCTTATATACTTAAAAGCACTACATATCAGAGAGAGTTTTCCCGCTCAACTATATATTAGCAAATTTATCTTCTAATAATGCCTAAAACCATTACATATGAGAGAGAAAATTTTCTCGCTCAATTTGTCCACTCAATTGTTAGCAAGCTTATCTTCTGATACATTGAAGCACTACATGTGAGAGAGAAAATTCTCACGCTCAATTATCAGCAAGCTTATTTTCTTATACATAAAAGCACTACCTACATATGAGAGACAAAATTCTTCTGCTCAATTGTTAGCCGGCTTATCTTATACTCCCTCCGTTCTTTTTTAGTTGCAACGGTCAACATTTCACATTTGCCAACACACGTCTTTGACCATAATTATATCTTAATTCTATTAGTAAAAAAATATTAAAAATCAGATTTTGAATATTTGTAATGAGATGAATTGAACAATATTTTTTTAATTACATAATTGTGATTATGTAAAGTTAGTTTTTCAATTTTGAAAACAATTATGTTTACTAAAAGTTAATAAGTCAAATGTTTATCAACTATCGCTATCATGGTCATATATTATAAACTTTTTCTTTATTTAATACAGAATAATTCGTATTTACGTTATAAAATTAGAAGGTTGTTTAATAAATGTTTAGATTTTTTTAATTTTATATATGCAATGTTGATGTCATATGAAAGATCGTAAAAAATTATGAAATTTGATATGATTTTTGTAAAAATTGGATTAAAAATGAAAAAGTTATAACACTCTAAAGAAAAAAGAAATTTTTCGTATCATGGGACCCACCAAGTCAATTAGTTTGCTTTGCTTTGATGTTTTCGCGGTTCAAATTGGAATTTGAAGAGAAAAAAATTATATGCTGACACTTGGTATTTTATAGCAAATGATCAAATTGTGGAGAGATGAACACATAAGATTAATGAAGGATGTAATTGTCTTTTAAAAAGCTATTTATTTTCTTATACGAAGTATATAAATAGAAGACGTCGCTTATAGGAGACTGAAATTAGTGAGTGTACGTGCAAGGAGATGGATTAGCTGCCAGCACATAATTCACAATAGTGTCACAGTTGGCTGATCCAGGAAAATTTGTTATTGAGGGCATCCACTAAACGGATCGGTACATATATTGTGTAAATATATATCAAATTTAAAACATACAAATGCTCTACAGTTACTTTCGTCATAAAAGAATTCTTTTAGAATAGCCTACATTTGCTTAATGCAAGTCTTTGTTAATAGTAGTATTCAACGAGCACAATGGTTATAAATTCTTTTACAAATAGTCTTTTAAAAAAACTGATTTGTTCAAGAATAATATGAACATTAACTAAAATAAAAGTAAATACTCCCTCCCATCCCAAACAACTTCATTGTTTGACTTCACAATTTTTAAGAGTAGAATTTTTTGTATTGATTTTCTCATTATGCCCTCCAAAAGTAGATAAAGTGTACTGAGAATCTGAGAGAGATAAAGTGGGTGTAAAATATGTAATAAAATAAAGGTATAAGGGTATATTAAAAAGTTGGGAAAAGTAGAAGTCTGAAATTTATTTAGTATCTACTAAAAAGGGAAAATGTGAAGTTGTTTCGGGATCGAGGGAGTATAAAAAATGTAAAGCTTCACAAGACCGAACCCCAAAAAGGCTTCTAAATTGATGGGCTCAATACTTGGTGTTTCCAAGTATAGAATAATAAATAATAAATAAATAATAAATAAATAAATAAGTGAATGAGAAATCGTGCTGATGTTCTACAGCTCTCCAACGAGAAAGATTTATCTTTTGTTAATGTTTTCAATCGATACAAATACGAATAAGGAGTGGTGGAGCCAGGATTGACATGTTACAGGGGTCGGAGTTTAAGGAATTTATATAGCAGAAGCCAAAATTTAAATTTTCATTATATTTATTACTATTTATAAATATATAAATACATAAATTTTCATTATACAAAATTTAAATACTTATATTTTCAACTCCGGTTGACTATTAGGTTGAATCATTTGGCTTTCATTCGAATACTTAATTCGAGGAGAAAACATAAGCTTGTCGCACCTTCCA